AAATGTCATTCCACTTGCTTAGTCTCTTGGAAGTACTATTTAGAATCTGCAAAAACTACATTTTTACCATTTCTAGAAATTTAACAAACATAAATAACGTATAAGTCTGTTTAGCCCAAGTGAAACGAGATGGAATGACATAGTCCACTGGATCGGAAGCACAGACCACTGAATGAGATTTGTCATCCAATGAAGCACCAACTTCTAGATTCTCTGCATTAAAACTTTATTTAGTTCATAAGAATATCAGAATGGTATTTTTATTTTATGTTAGACTTGAATTTTAATGTTGGTAATCATGAGTTTCACTTGTTCATCAGAGGGTAGCCCTGCTTTCTTTAATAAAAGAAATCATCAGATTGGGGCTGGCCACATGACCTTGACTTAAAAGACATTTTCTCGCCTCCCTTCAAGTTGGCTAGGTATGGGACCTAGTGCTTCCAAGTGGCATCCTCCAAAAGAGACACACTCTTTTCTAGTTCCACTTTGAAAGATCAATGCGGGTACTTTCCCTCCTCTCCCACTAGAAGATAAGAACAGGAAAAAGAACCAGGAGTGGTTCATACATGTTTAGAAGATGACAGTGTTCCAGCAGCTCTTTGTCTTACTTGTAGATGACTGTGTGAATAGGGGTAAACTTTTTCTTTGGAGAGGTTTTTGCTATAGGGTGCATGTGCTTGCCAGAAAAACAGAGAGAGACAGAGAGACAGAAAGTGAGAAAATGAGAAATCATCCCCTGGGGGGATGGTCACACTGCAAACCCTTCTCCTCCATTCTCCTCTAGGGATCTTGGGCACACACACACATGTGCCCAGTATGAGTTTTAAGCCACCAGGTCCGAGACTTGAACCATGGTTAATGACGTGGGAGTCCAGTGACGTAGCCATTATTCCAACTGCTGGTCCCCAGAATAGGGGCAAACTTTTAATGTATATAAACCACCTTCTGGTTTGACCCAACCTTCTTCCTGCTCCTGTCTTTCACAGAAATCAGTTCTCCATCATGTTCTAAAGTTTCTCATGCCTGTTCCTTATCAATCACAGGTTTTCTCTGAAAACATTTTTTACACATCAAATCATTTTTGTGCATGCTTCTTAAAGGACCTAACACGGTGACACTTGTCTCCTCTCATTGAGGTGTAAACAATCACTTATTATGATAGCAGTGCTATAATTTATGACTATCATTAAAGATAGTCACACTTACCATGAGCTACATTTCTAGATTAAACAGATAAATATGAAGAGGGGAAATAAATCTGGATTAAGTAGGATCATTTTTAACATAAGTAATGCATGAGATGATTTCACCCCACACCATGCATGTATTTGTTTCTTAAGTGTTATGGTTATCTGAGAAATCTCCTTCTGTCAGTTTTCACTGTAAAATTTTCTAGACATCATATAAATGGTGCCTTTTTTTTTTTTTTT